TATATATATGAAAAATGCATGTATATATATATATATACATGCATTTATTATGATGAGGGTTTTGAAATCATGAGGGCTTTGAACTTAAAACTCCATTTTATAATTTAAACGTCATATCAAGAGTTAGTAAACAAGAAGCATTGGGAAGCATCAAAAGACGATCGTTTTTTGCATTTACAAGTGTTCTAAATAATCTCATTTTTTGTTAATATGTTTTACAAGTGAAAGAAAGGATTTATTTAATAGTTATTTATTTTTCCAAAAAATATGTTCCGTAAATAGATAAAATTTTATGAGAATATATTATATATATATATCTATATCTCGATTTTACATGTCACACTCAAATCACATAATTCTTATATATATACATATCCAAAGCCTAAATTTTTACATTTACATGTCACACTCAAATCTTCAATATAAATAAAAATATCACTATTATTTTAAATTTGAAATTCATCTTTTAATGCACTTGCTTATGGCACAAAAATATGATAAATATAAATATCAGATTTTAAATGTTAGATATGTAAATAAATAAAAATTATGTGGTATAGTAAAAATTAATTTCATTAATGAATTCATACCTGTCATATACCCGTTCGCATATATTCACATATAGCTGATGGGATTCGTTTGACGAGTGGACGCTGGCAGTTGCCGGTTGTCAGCAACATTTTCCTCCATGGCTAGGGTTTTCGGCTCCACTCTACTGGGGCTCGGCGTTACCAGAACCCTCCTCTCTACATCTTCGAGCTTCTCCTCTCTCTATGCACCTTTGCTTCTCCATAGCCAATGGCGTCGGTTCTACTCGTCGGGCTCTAGGGTGAGCATGAGCCTCAAGGCAGGCATCGTCGGCCTTCCCAACGTCGGCAAGTCTACTCTTTTCAATGCTGTTGTAAGTTCTTCATTAACCTGAAGTTGTGATCGGCTATCCATATTCCTTCAGTTTAGAGTTTGGGTTTTAGGGTTTAAGCCGGATTCTCTCTTATTGTGTTTGGTGGAGATATAATTGTCAAAACTGCTGGAGATATATTGAGGAAAAATTGTGTTAGAGTAATGGCGGGAGAATTGTATGTTGAAAATAATGTGGTAGAATTTATACTTAGGCCTAGTTGCTCGAAGAAAGCTTGCTTTCAGACATGATAGATTTCTAGTATGTAGTTAGAAGTAAATATTGATTCTGAATTATGCCAATATCTTCAAAAACTCTGAAGGGCATGATCTCTTTTTTAACTTATGATAAGGGTTAAAATAAGACCCTTTTTTTCAAGCGTAATTTCTTTATAAAAGCTACTAACAAAGCCTTAGGCAGTTCAGAAATTTACAATGAAGGATACAAAATCCATAGAATATATGAAATTAAAATTTGTGTCAAATGACTAAGAAGTAAAATGGGCAGGTCTAAAATTGCATTATAATAATATTAAAAAAAGCTGAATATGTTAACATCCAGTGCAACATTTAGCAAAACACGTAAAAAACTTAAATTTACAAAACAACAACAACAAAGCCTTAAACCCACTACGTGGGGTCGGCTACATGAATCCTTTTTCTCCATTGCGTCCTATTTAGTGTCATATTTTCATTTAGTTCTAGTAAATTAAGATCATTTTTAATACAATAAGCCCAAGTCTTCCTAGGTCTACCTCTGCCTTTCTTAACACAAGTCGAATTTAAAACATCTACTATCCTAATCGGATAGTCTAATGGTCAACATTTGGGATAATTTTAGCTATGTATAATGGCAATATTTTCTACTTCAGAAAAAAAGATGTTTTAAATAGAAACATGCATTATCGCAATAACTGTTATTTGGTAAGTTCTGAATTTCGTAAGAGATTGTGTAGTTGGCTAAAACTTTCTTTGATTTAGGTTGAAAATGGCAAAGCTCAGGCTGCAAATTTTCCTTTTTGCACCATTGAGCCAAATGTTGGAATTGTTGCTGTACCAGATCCACGCTTGAGCGTTCTATCTCAACTGAGTAAGTCCCAACGCATTGTACCAGCCTCCATAGAGTTTGTTGATATTGCTGGTCTGGTAAAAGGAGCCAGTCAAGGAGAGGTATGAAGTATGAATATTATTTGATCTATGACTCATTGAGCATTGTGAATCTCTTAGAAAGTGTTATCTCCATTATTTGAATTACAAGTATAGAAATCATGAATCTGTTTGGCATCGATAACTCCATTATTTCAATAGCATGTGAACGTTTAGTTAAGAATCATGAAATTATTTTGATTCTTTTTGTAAAGGCATCTATAATGTGGTGGCCTTTGATGGACGAACATCCCAAATGAAGTCTTAATTTATAAACGATCATTATGATATTGTTTGTAGTAAGTTTCATGCAGGATATATATATATATAT